ATCAGAGAATCCATCCTGTTGAAAAGCCTCTCTGCTATGACACACAAGGGAAAAGCATCAGACAGCATTCAGATTTGAATTATTATCATGGAGTGTATGTAAGAGTGAAACCCTATGACTATAATGAGTGTGGGAAAATCTTCAGTCAGAATGCTGTTCTTACTAATTGTATTCTTCTTGGAGAGGAAACTGGTGAATGTGGAAAGACATTCAACCAACATTCAGCTGCTAACCAACCTCAAATAGTCCTCACAGGAGAAAAACCCTACTTGTGTGATGAATGTGGGAGAAGATTCCGCCACAGAATGCACCTCATTGAACATCAGAGAATCCATACAGGGGAAAAGCCTTTCATGTGTAACAAATGTGGGAAAGCCTTCAGGCAACATTCATCCTTTAAGCAGCACCTGAGAAGCCACACAGGAGAGAAGCCCTACAAGTGTAATGAGTGTGGTAAAGCTTTTAGCCGAAGCACAACCCTCACTGAGCATCACAGACTTCACACTGGGGAGAGACCTTATGAATGTAGTTTTTGTGGGAAAACCTTCAGCCGAAGATCACATCTTAATCAGCACAAAAGGACACATACAGGAGAGAAGCCCTATGAGTGTAATGAATGTGGGAAAGTGTTCAACCGGAATGCACACCTTAACTTACACAGGAAAATCCACAGCTGTGTGTAATGGACTATAAATGTGAGAGGACCTCAGACTGAAGTCCTTCCCTTAGTGGTACAAAACTCAAGGAAAACAAACAGACAGACGGGAAGTTGTTAAAACCATTCTTTTCATTCAGTAGCAAATTGTTCATGGTAGGAAGAAAGCTTACCTACAAGTGAGTTTTTACTGCATTGGAACCAAATTTATAACTGAATTTAGTAGTTTATAACATCTCCAGAAGGTCTTATAGATAGTGAACATTATTACTTTTACAAACTGAAATATATTGGGCCCTGTTCAGATTCCAGTGCAAAACCCAAATAAAGGTGGGGAAGATGACATGCCTGTAATTCCAGCACTCCGGGTTTGCTGCTTGTGGTTTCTTTGTAATCCTAACAGTTGGTGGTGAGGAGGATTAGGAATTTAAGGCTATCCTCCAGTAAGGATGGAGTTGAAGGCCATTTTGTGTTAGAGGAATGTCTAGCCATGTTTTAAAGTGCAGTTCAGTGCCTTGTGATCCAGTTGGGGCCCTGCCTTGGGCATTGTTATGAATGTTGAACTATCTTCTGTAACCATGTGATGATAAGGAATGTTCCCCTGTTATTCCAGACTGGTAAATAAAGGTGCTGAAGCCTAGGACTGGGTTGCAAAGAGGTAGGCAAACTTTTAGGTTCCTGGGCTTGGGTTTGAGAGGGAGAGGAGAAAACGTCAGAGGAGGTAGCAGGAGATGAATCCGGAGAGAGAGAGAGAGAGAGATGGATGAGTCTTCATAGGGCGAGATGTCAATAAACATGTGGCTGTAAGGACAGACTGGATGGAACAAGCCATCTGGGAGCCATCAGAATGCCAAGTGATTCCCTTTTATGTGGGTTTTAAAGATACTAGGGTCAGAATAGCACAGTATCTGCCCAGTATAGTTCTTTAAGTTTAATAATAAATCATGATCATTTTGTGTCAGTCATTTGGAACTGACTGGTTAAAGAAAACTGTATTAATTTAGAAAGGGGTTTGGGTTGTTGAAACCCTGTTTTAAAAAAGAAAATAGGAAAAAAAAACCCACAAAAATCTAAAACTCAGTAATTTATAATTACTAAACTGTTATGTTTATTCTATAATACTTTTAGTTATATGAATATTGATTACACAAGGCAATACTGCGGTATAGCCAGGTATATAAAACAGAATGAACAGAAAGCATAGTATTTCTTTTTTTAATCTTTTTGTAATTTATTTATTATGTACACAGTATCTGCATGTACACCTACACACCAGAAGAGGGCAGCAGCAGATCTCATAGAGCCACCATGTGGTTGCTGGGAACTGAACTCAGGACCTCTCAAGGAGCAGCCAGTGCCCTTAACCTCTGAGCCATCGCTCCAGCCCTGCATATTTCTTAAACTTTATTCATTTTGTGCTTTCATTATTCTTTCTCTTAATTCTTTTTCTAAAGGACAGTAGAATTTTTAGCCAGGCCTAATATTATCTATGGAACTTAATAGTTTACTATACTAACTAAAATTTGTTCTGCTTTCTAGAACAATAAAAATAATTTCAAATTTTAAAATACTCAAGTGGCATGGTACCTCAAGCTTATAAGACAGAGGCACTCCACCTAAGACAGAGGCACTCAGGAGGTGGAGATGGTGAGATTGCTATGAGTTTGAGGGCAGCTTAGGATACACAGTTAAGCTTTGTCTCAGAAACACACACCCTGCAAAACCTCACAACCTCACATGCTCAAAGGTTCCCATCAAGTGGAGGACAATGTCAGGTCCTTAACAAATGCCATCTGAGGAGAGGCCCAACCTATACAGCTTTGGTTCTGGCCAAGTGTCAAAGAGTCTTGTTCGCCATTTTACATTCTCTCACACTCCATTGGCCCTCCACACACATGTTCTTTCTGCTTCAGATGTCCTCCCCAAATCCCATGTGTTCTGATACATAAATGACATGCCCCGCAACAGGTGTGGTACAAAAAAGTTTATTGTGGGAAGGGCAGGGGGAGAGAGGGAGAGAAGACAGAGTCTGAGTGGACCGTGAGAGAGAGGTAGGCAGTGTGGGAGAGCAAAGCGGGGAGGGAAACGGGCAGAGAATGCAAGAGGAGAGAAAAGAGACAGGAGTCTTTTCATCCTGGGCCCTTGGCTCCAGCAGCAGGTGATGACTTAAGCGGTTGCTAAGCAACCTAGAGGCCAGTTGGAAGGGCTGCCTCTATGCTAACAGCAAGTCCCTCTGTGGGATCCTCCAGGTCCTCCTGCTGTATTCTACGTACTGACACAAAGAGGAATGGTGGAATGCCTTGACCACTAACTGAACTAGCATCAGTGTCTTCCTAGGAACCTGGAATGCAACTGTGGCCTTGAACACTGCCAAGCACACCAACAAAAGTGTTAAGATTATTGTCCAAAACAGAAACTGGCTCCCAGTCTGAGCCCAAATTCCTTATGGGAGCTACACACACACACACACACACACACACACACACACACCCTTAGCTGGACAAAACTAAATAGAACATCCCAGTCTTTTCACATACTTTGCACTGATGAGGTGGAAGTTCTGTTAAGTGCTTTGTACTAATTGCCCTGGAATTTCATGTTTCTTTCTTTGGAGTCCAGACAAGACTTATTTCAAGCCAGTTTGGGACACCTCTTGTGGGAACGACCTTGCTACCCTTTTGAGGGCAAGTCTTGTTACAGAGGGGGGGGTGTCTCTGTATTTATACTCTCCCACTACCTAATTGTTTCTTTTTCCTTTGCCTGTTAGACTGTGGGCCTTTCTTGAGTTAGGCTCCCCTTTTATTCATCTCTTCCCTACAAAGACTAACACAGAATCTAAGAAAAATGTGTTCCATAAATGTTTACTAAGAAAAAAAAAGTTGGACAGATTGATACCTTGTTTTATTGCTATTGTAATACTAAGGATTGTTTTGTGGACAGGGTGCATGAACTGGCTATTTAGCATTTACCAAGGTTTTTGATGAATTTTTATTTTTCAAATCTTCCAACAGTTGCTAAGATAGCTCAGTGGTCAAGATTGTCTGTATTTGACCCTCAAAAAGTCTCTTCCAACAGACTGCTCCTCTTCACAGTATGACTAATATATTCACAGTGTTCCCTCTCTGGAAGCTTTTATCAGGAAAGCTGCAACAAATCACCTGAATCCTTTAGGACTCCCACAAAACATATTCTCACAGCAGACTCTCTTTCATTGTCCAGCTTTTTTGCTTGTTTGTCTGTTTTTGAGACAGGATCTGGTAGCCCAGGTTGGACCCTAATTCACTTCCTGCCTTCACTTCCTCAGTGCTGAGATTATATGCAAGACCACAGGAAATTTATGGAGTGTTGGGATCTAAGGCAGGGCCTTGAGGAAGTAGGTAAATATTTTAGAAGCTGAACTACGTCCTTAGCCCCATGTATGTATGCATGAATTATGTTTGTGTTTAGTTGAGGTGAGCCATCAACATAATACCCAGACTGACCTCACTGCAATCGCTATCGGTCTTTGAGTGCCGGGATCGAAGCCATGCGCCACCACACCCACCTTTTAACATTAAACTGAAATGTCTTGGCGTGCATATTATGTACCTTTATGGAGACGACGTGACGCTGAAGTGCACACACAGTCATATCAGGGTGATTGACAGGGCCATCCACTTACCATATCTTTGCCTTGAAAATATTCCGAACCCTCTGTATCTGCTACTTTTTTATGCAAATATTACACTTGCAGCCGGACATGAAGCGCTATAGGTTCACGCCTCTAATTCTAATACTGCAAAAGAGGAAGCTTAGCCAGGTGGACGATATGAGACTGCTTTAAAAAAAAAAAAAAAAGTTTCTGTCTGACGAATGCAAGTCCCTTAATTTGAAGGCATGCCCCATCTATATCTGGGAAATCCAAAGACCAGAAAAACAAAATGGAATAGGAAAAGGTAGGAACTTCCCGATGACCGGTTATAGTGCCTGTGGGTAAGGCATAAACCAATCTCTTTTTTTATTCTTTATTAATTACACTTTATTCACAAGCCAGACAAGACAATCTTAACCATGAAAATTTCCGCCCAAGGTGTGGTGGGGAAGAGGGACAGGTTCAAACGGACTGAGCAGCACATTCCCTTTAGCCTCGCCCAAACCGAAAAACGGTTAAGTTGGGGGCGGAGCTAGCGCATCCATGGCGTCATCACGCTGCGCCCATGCTCTGCCAGCACTGATGTGAGTGCTGGTCCTCCAAGGTGAGCGAGGGCTCCACATCTGGCTTGGGGTTCGGTTCTGCAGGGCCTGGTCTCCTGTCAATCTCCCTGAGGCGCGGTGCTTTCGGCAGCAACTATTCCCATCGTGTGTCCGAGTCAAAGTCTCCTCGCTCCTGTTCTGAGTAGCTGCCCGGCCGAGGTCTTGCAGTGCTACCAGAGCTGTGAGCCCTTGCGTGTGTGGTAGCCGGCTGTAATGGTGTAATCAAGGCAGGCAGCGAGCTGCAGCGAATGCTGTGACCCCGTGGACGACAAGGAATAAACCCGGCAGACTCGGGATTGGAGCACTTCAATTAGAAAAACTCCCTGAGCAGGGACGGGTTCCAAGAGAGGACACCATTCAAGTGGCAAGGACGAGGTGTTTCTAAATAGTTACAGCACAAATAGTGGAGAAAGAGTAAATAAGGCGACTTGTCATCTGGTGGTCCGTGAGGCACTGTAAGTAGCGGAGCTTTGATCTGTAGAGCATCTGTGATCCGCAGCAAGGGAGTTTTCCAGATTAGGTCAGAGACGCCCTGGCTGGTGCCTTAACTGCTTCTCTTCCCTGTCTCCTGCCTCATTTGGAGAGACTCCAATGCTACCAGTGTATTGGTGTGTTTGCACACTGCAATAGCTTTTCAAAACCCTGTGAGCAGGCCATGATGTTCCTAACTTCCCGAATGGGGAATCTAAAAGCCAGGCATGGTGGTGCGCTCCTGTAATCCCAGGCTCGAGAAGTTGAGGCAGGCAGATCTCTGTGAGTTTAAAGCAAGTCTGATCTATGCAGCAAGTTCCAGGAAAGCCACAACTGCACAAAGCAACCCTGTTCCAAAAAAGCAAAAGTAAAAAATTTTTAATTTAAAACAATAAAATAAAACTTTTGTCCGTGCCCAGCAATCTCCAATTCAATAAAAAAAAAAAAATCTCTGAAAGCAGGGGCTGAGCCTTGGTTACTTTCAAATTTCCCTAAGTATTGAAAACCATTACACTTCCCACATGAGACAATGAAAATAAATATTTGTACCACACAAAAAGTCCTCCATACAGTTACCCAAGGTAATGGACAAGCAAGTGTGAGCTGGCGTGGTGGAGGTGGTGACAGGAGAATCAGGAGGTCAAGGTTCTCCTTGACGACATAGTAAGTCTGAGGCCAGACTCTACTTCACAGGACCCTCCTCAAAGAGATCACCCGGGGCTGGAGTCATGGCTCAGCAGTTAAGGACACTTGTTACTGTTGCACAGGACCCTGGGTTTGGTCCCCAGCACCCCCATGGCAGATCACATTGATCTATAGTTTCAGTGGACGTAAGGTCTTCAGTCACATGCATGGTGCATGTACACACAGGCAGGCAACACTCATACACTTTTTTTTTTTTTCCTGTGTAGTGTGTCTGTCCTGGAACTCTATAGACCAAGCTGACCTGAAATTCAGATATCTGGTGGGATTGGGAGGGATTGGGGGAGGTGGCTACAGCTGGGATACAAAGAGAATAAACTAATTAATAAAATTTAAATATTTTTAAAAAAAAGAAATTCAGAGATCTGCCTGCCTCTGCATCCCAGTGCTGGGATTAAAGGCCTGTGTCACAAGCACCCAACAAAGTATATATATTCTTTTTTAAGAAAAAAAAGGAGGGGGGGGAAACAGTTAAAAAAAAAAACACAGTAACGGAAAACTGACCGTTTATAGTTGTCTCAGTTTTAAGCTTGTGTCTTTGGGGCCTCTCTGTATATTGTCTTCTATTGCAGAATGTTCCAAGGTTTAGTTGCAGTTTTAATGACATTAACAATGTGTTGCCTCTTTCTCCCAATTAGACCCTCTCAGGATACTTTCCTTTCCCAGAAGAAGATGAAAGAGAAAGAAGTGAATGATGGGTTCCAGATAGGAAGATGCCAGGTAAGTTTAATTTCCTCTCCTCTAAAATGCTATTGTTGTGGGGAGAAATTGCTCAGCCATTAAAGACACTTGTTCTTGCAGAAGACTAAGATTCAATTCCCAGCACCTACATGGCAGCCGATGTCTGTGACTCCAATCCCCAGGGATCCAGTGCCATCTTCTGGCCTCTGTGGGCACTGCACACACATGATAAACGGACAAACTTGCAGGCAAAACACCCAAAAACATAAAAACAAAATTTAAAAACTTTATGGAAAACTGGGAAAGACTGTTTGCCTACCATGCACAAGGCCCTGGGTTCAATTGGAAGTTTTGAGGTAAAAATCTATTTTATAATGGCTAGGATGATATCTCAGTCAGTAGTACACTGCCTTCCTGACAAATGTGAGGACTGAGTTTGATCCCAAGAAACCAGGTTAAAAAAAAAAAAATCCAGGCATGGGCTACGAAGATGGGCCCAACAGATACTAAATATTGTGTCAGCTGATGAGATGTAGATGCCCCGAGACATTGTTTCTATGGAAACTAGTCAAATATTTGGAATAACTCAATAAATGCCCTTCCCTTAAAAAGATGGCTGTCGAATTAGGTGTGAGCAAGGAGGGGTGTGCTTGCTGTTCCAGGTGTTGCTGACATTCCAGGATGTGGCTGTGGACTTCACCAGAGAGGAGTGGGCACAGCTGACCCCAGCTCAAAAGACTCTCTACCGAGACGTGATGCTGGAGAACTACCGGAATCTGGTGGCCCTGGGTGAGCCCCGAGTTGTTGGGACAAGAGAGACCATTCAAATGAGTTTATTTCCTTTAGATGTAGGAGACATTGAAACCTTTGTGAATATGGTTTAGGTGTGTTTGTTTGGAAACAAGGCTTTTCTCTGCAGCCCTGGCTGTCCTGGAACTCCTTTGTAGAACAGGCTGGCCTTAATCTCACAGAGATCAGCCTGCCTCTGCCTCCCAAGTGCTGGCATTAAAGGCCTGCGTCTCCACTGCCCAGCTGAATGCTTGCCATTTTTGGAGACAGAGATTTGTCTGATGTTCTTTTCCTTCAGGTACAAGACTGGCTTTGTTCATATTGACTCTTTTCTTTCTGGAGACAAGATCTCATTACATATGCTAGTCTGAGCTCAAACTCATGGAAACCCCTGTGCCTCCCGAGTGCTGGGATGATGGGTAATGGATGAGCCAGCATGCCTAATTTGGAAGTGGTCCCAGAAACAACATTTGTTCCCTATAAACATGTGAGACCTACATTTCCCCCTCGCCCAGGGCACCAGCTTTCTAAGCCAGAAGTGATCACACAGTTGGAGCAGGAGGCGCAGTGGACAGCAGAAAGCAGCAGCCAGCTGGACACTGTTACAGGTGAGAAGCAAGATCAGTGGGAAAATGGATCCTTCTCAAGTATTCCAGAGTGTGTGTTCTGTGGGATAGAGTATTTACAACATTCAGCTTTCCATTCACATGTATCATTTATGGAAGGTGGAAATGGCTGCCTTTTTCTTATGATTGCATAGAAAATATACACTTATTATGAAAACCGATATTCTGGAAGTGAAAGTGTGAACTTCTGTAAAGAGATTGCTCCCTAGGGTTTTCTCTGTATTTTCTCCATATCTCCTGTTAGTTCTCTCTCTCTCCCTCTCTCCCTCTCCTTCTCTCTCTCTCTCTCTCTCTCTCTCTCTCTCTCTGTTTTTCCATTTTGTGTTATGTGTGAGGGTGCTGGCCTGCGTTTGTCTCTGCTCCAAGAACATGCAATGCCACAATGCGTTTATTAACATCAAGTGTCTTCCTTAACTGCAAGGACTCACACTTGACCCCAGAGCTTGCAGGTTGGGCTAGGGAGGTTAGCCAGTTTCCTGTGGGGATCCCGTCTCTGCCTCCTGAGCACTAGGATTCCAAGTGAGGCACCACACTGCCCCAGCGTTTCCCTCAAGGCTGGGAGCATACTTATAAGTCATAAAATCTGGTTTTCATATACAAACAGGCAGGGTAACTTCTAAAGTATTAGCCATGATTATTTGGGGGGAATGTGGTTCTTTTAAAGATTTTGTTTTTACTTGTATTTCTTTTATGTTATGTTTGCATTCATGTATGTCAGTGCATCACATGTATGCAGTAGCTGTGGGTGCCAGAAGAGGGCGACAGATCCCCTGGAACTGGAGTCACAGTCTTTATGAGCCACTGAGTGGGCGCTGGGAAGGAAGCCAGGTCCTCTGCAAGAGCATCCACTGCTCTCAGCTGCTGAGCCATCTCTCCAGCCCCAAGGACTCTTTCCTTCCTGCATTGCTCCATTTATTTTAATACGTTATTCTGTGTGTTACTTGTATGCCTTTAAACAAAAATTTTAAATGGGATGAATTTTTAAATAAACAAGTAGAGATTACAACAGGACACTCTGCAAATTAGCCTAAGAGAGCCTGGACGTAGATCTGCCCTCTCAAAGCACACTGTTCCTCCAGTGTCCTCCATAGTCTTTGTCTGACATTTCTTGTTCTTTCGTCCACTTGTGCTCAACCATGGAAACCTCTGGGTGACCACTTTCTTGCCATGACCACCACAGGTGCGTTTTAAATGTCCCCATGCTCACCGTTTCCTGTCCTCCTTTCTCAGTCTTCCTGCTTGTTGTATGTCCATATTCTAAATGTGCATTATATTACCATCAGGATTATCTCATCATTCTGTATGTGATGGTATTGTACATTCTGAATCTCTTTTAGGTGGGGTGGACAGACGTGTAATGAAAAAGACATCACTCAAGCAGAACACAACCGATGAAAATCAGCCCCATGAAGTTAGAACGGAAAAGCTAACAGGGGCCTCTTTCGAGTACTCCATCTTAGGAGGACTCTGGGATCTTGATTATCCGTTAGAACTGAACCAAGAAAAGCAGCAGAAGCATTTGGA